CTAATGTCAGGAACACTTAGCTCTCCTATTGTTGGGAGGTGTGATCTTAAGTATTCAGAGCTGGCATTAAACCATTCAAAAATTTTGAGTTGGTGAAAAAAATTTCATAAAATATCAGGCATTATACACCTCTGCAGTACCTCTTGATGACATATTCATTCCAGTGAAGTGATCTCATCTAGAAGTAATACCAACCCAACTTTGATTGAAAAGCCCATTTCTAGAGTTTTTTTATTCTTCATGTATAAATTATGTTATCTTATAAGGTACAAATGGCTAGTCACTGTAGCTATTATTCTTTATATTATGCATTCATTTGTTGAACACATCCTCAAAGACTTCTCTGACCCCAGCCCCTAGATATAGTCTCTGCTTGCAGCCTGTGCTTCCTTAAAAGTCGCCCTATCTTTGCAGTTAAATAGTAATTGCACGATTAATTGCTTAATGTCTGTCTTTCTTGCCAAATTATTTTCCCAAGGAAAGTAGAAGCCAGATCTACTGTAATTATAGCTGTATACAACACTGGTTCTTGCCTATAGCAATACATTCTTTTTAAATGAGTTATTTAATTCACATACTTATTCATCCACTAATTAATTTAGCACTCACGAGCCCTAGGAACTGCGCTATAGTTAAGAAACAAAAATTAATGTGATAATTTTTGCATTCAAAAAGTTTATAGTTCAGTACACAAAGTTTGTTACCTTTTTAGGTAAAATCTTCCCTTGCAAAACCTAATGCATGAGGTGGCTCCTTTACTCAATAACTACTCCTCTGAAATGAACACAAGATTTTTGATTTAATTTGTTAGGTTCCCAGATCCTTGCAAGTCCATTCACTTTCTTCTGTAAGTTCTCTGCATTTGGAAGTCAAGATCTCTTGGTGGAACAGATTTGCAGGTCCATACAGGGTCAGGGAAGGGATGAAGGGTGGATTTTGGCATGTCCTTCTATGGATTAGGAAAGGGTTCCAGTGCAAGGAATGTTTGACCCATGTCTTAGGCAATAAGTTTGATATCACTAGGAGAAGGGACAGAGTTAAAGATTGAGAAGCCAATATCTGGGAAAGCATGGAAGTATGAAAAAGCACGTGATGGTGGGGAATTGCAAGTACCTGAGAATGTAGGGCTGTGAAAAGTCTGCATGAGTGAAGTGGTGGTGAGGAAAGGGTGTTGAAGAGGATCCTGGAGAGGTAACTTGACCAGGGAGGACCTTGTTTCAACCAGTGATCAACAGGAAGCTCTTGTAGGGGCTCATGAGGGATTCATCAGGTCAGCCTTGTCCTTCAGAAGGAGCCCTATGTCGTGGTGTTCAGGGTGGATCTGGAAGGGGAGTGGGACAGATGCAGTAGTCATTCAGACCCCGGGGTGAACAAAGTGGCAGCAGGGTTTCAGGAGAGCGTGTAGGCCAGTTTGAGATTTAGGAAGAAGGAGCAGCAGGAAGTTGTCACTGATTAGATGTGGGGTGTGTGACAAGGGCAGGGTTAAATCCAAGGCGGGGTCTTAGACAGCTAAGTGTGTGAGGATGGTGCTTGGTTGAGGTCTCTACAGGCAGCCTCTTAGGGATGAATGCCAGTTCAGTAAAATAAATTTTCAGAGGTTACATTTTTTCCTCCTCAAAACTAAATAGGTCTTTGTAAAAGATAAAAAACATCCTTTACAATTTAAATTGTCCTGCAGGTTGACTACAAGAATGCTAATATGAAGATCAACCTTGCTTTTTAATCACAAAAGTTATCTGTGCAGCCATGGTGAGGCAGCTTTCTAATTTCTCTTCTTGAAATAAGCATCTGGGCTGTACTGGAACCCGGGGTTGGCCAGTAGAGTCTGGGTAAATCAGATTATTCATTGCTGCCCAAAGAATTCTGGGAAATGGAATACCTGGCAGGGAAAGTGATAAGTCAATTATAAACTTACCAAGTCTGATGCATTTGGTAAAGTGTGTTGCACAAAGAGGGTTCTCAATAAATATCAAATCATAGCTATAAATTTCTAATAAAAAATCATAATTACAAATATCTTACAAATGAATCTTATTTTTCTTATATTTGGAATCTGGCATTATAAATCTTAGATTAGTATAAAAATATTTATGAAAGTTACACCCCTCTTACAATTAGTTCAAATTTCACACAACGTCTCCAATTTAAAAAAAAAAAAAACCCAACTCCTTGGAGATAATTTACATAACATGCTATTCACATAAAGTATACAATGCATTCAATTAATTTTTATTTGCTTAAAAAAGTAAATGATATTCTTTTTGTAATCAGCAAAACATACAAAGAATGTATATTTAAACATTTATTTAAGTCTTATACATAAACAATGTTCTCCCTTGATCATTAGAGTCAAGGAGAAAACATATCCTGTGTAAGTTTAAATTAAACAAATGTATAAAATACGGGTGGGTATTACTACAAAGTGACACAGTTAGTGAGAAGAAAAGACTAAAGATGGGTCATCTAGTGGCTTTCTTTAATGTCCTGCTAAGTCAGGGAGACACAGTTTAATTTACAGATGCTTGCTTCACTATCAGGGGGTTGGGAAGAAATGTCCCCTGCCACTAAACTTCCCTGCTAAGGGTCGATGTGTTATAACGGGTGTATTCTCACCCAGGATGGCAATGATGTTGTATTAAGAGGGACCAAAGCCTTGGGATTTCAACTAATGCATGTGTGGAAGGAAAAGCTCAACTTACCCATTTACTGTATATAAAACAGGGAAAAAAGTTGGCAGGTTTTGAGAGTGCTGACTGTCACCTCTGATCTGGTGTTAATGATCTCCGTGACAAAGGCACATATCTAAAAATCATGCTGCTTGGTTAAAGTAACAGTCTGTGGATGAATGTAACTTTTTTCCTATAAAATGGGTAGCACTGTGCCCAAAGTTTGCCCTAAGAAGCTGGATGCCAGGTATATAATCGGCGTTTAGGCTAATGTGGGTATTATCTGAAATGGCTCCCCTGCCCCCAAGACTGCAAATGGCTGTGCAGTGGGAGACAGACTTAGAAAAATTAGGTGTAACTTACTCTGATATTGCTTCTAAACTTATGGTTGTTAAATGCAGTGTTGCTTAGTTCTGCAGTTAAAAGCCTACAGTGCCCTATGGTTAAATGCTTGCTTATAGCTTTAAAACCTGAAAAGGATACTGGCTTAGTGAGAGATTCTATTGCTTGTATTTGTTGACTGTTCTTCTTTTACTTCTGTTAATGTTACAGGCCAAAGCTATGCAGACTGATTTTATAAGCTTTGGTACTTTTGTTCTATAAATAATGCTTGTTGACAGTGACATGAAAAAGTGTGCTATAATCCACCACCATCCCAATTTTTCTGTAATCAGGCTTGTTTTTTCATTCTTTCAGAGACAGAAGGACATTTCGGTGTCTGAATGTTTGTTTACATTGTTTAACTTCCTGTTGTAGTTGCTGCTAATAAAGTATAACAAATGCTATAAAATAGCTTTCAAGTCTTTTTTTCTCTCTGTCTCTCATGGAGTATACTGTCTATTCTGCTGCTCAGTGTGCCCTTTAGGAGGATATATGAGGAGGGCATTTTACTTAGATGTTCTTGCTCCACAAGCAAGACATATATATTTCTTATGGAAACTATTACACAGAATTAATTTTATTTCCTTTGTTGTTTTGACCGCTAGGAAACTCAGTCACTTGGCCTCTTCTTTAGGACTAACTAGATTCTTTCTGTTCATTTGTTTGCTTTTGCAGTCCTGGGGATCCAATCCATGACCTCACGCATGTTTGGAAGCTCTCTACTAGTGAACTGCATTCCCAGCCCTAAATAGATTCGTACAGCATGATTTTATTTGGATTAACTTTTCCATTGACCTCATTTTATTGTTCTGGCCTTGGGGCAGTTGGGGTGATTCTTTTTGTGTTTTAAAGTAATTTGCTTATGTATTTTGAAAGTCATTTCCAATTCCTTTTAGATCTAGGTAGAATAAAAAACAAAATGTAGACTATTTAACTTGCTTATAGTCGTTTTGCATTTCCTTTGTTCCAGACTTCATCCAATCTTCAAATCCAGATTTTCCATGACCACCCCCATACAAAACGGGGATTGAACCCAGGGCTTCACATATGCTAGCAAGACCTCTACTGCTAAGCACACCATCAACCCTCATCATCCTATCCTTTTGAGACAAGATCTCACCAACTTGCTCACTAAGTTGTCCAGTAGCCTTGAACTTGGAATTTTTTCTGCCTTGACCTCTCAAGTAGCTAGGATCACTGGTGAGTGTGTCACTTCACTTCTATTGGCCAATTTTCCTGAGTTCTTGTATTTATATAATTTTGCATTTTACTAAATATGAATTTACTCTTTAGTATTTCATGTGTATTAGGCCTGTTGTTCCAAGTTGCGTATGTTTTAGGACTGTGGCTTATATTTTTCTGAATCAGCTAGTGCAATAATAATGTCTCAAGAAATGTTTCCTTTTTCATTGTAATGAAAGCAAATAGTGCCTCTTAAAAAAGCTTATTCTCAGAGCGCTCAACACATCAGTGTCCAGAAGTACAGGAATTCATTTTTGTCTATAGCGGTATAAAGTTATTTCATTCCAAGACTATGTAAACCATTCAAATCTGTCTTCAGCTCTTTCTATATAATGTTATTGGACAGTGAATTCATCTTTACAGCACCACTGAAGATGAATGGTAATGCTTAATACAGTACATTCTGGGTGCTAACTACGATGATCAATATGCGTCGCCAGGCAAAGTCCAGCATTTTGACAACTCTGTTATCTCTCAGCAATGAGAAGACTGGTCATTTGTGTGTAATCCCTCAGGGAGGTCAAGTATGTCTCCCACTGAGCAGTGCCCACCCCTCTTGCTCGCCTGAGTAACGACTACAGCCCTAGCTAGCAGCAAAGCCTCCTCAGACCAGTGGCTGCAGGAATAACCTTTAGCAGGGTCGCCGCTAGGGAGAGCCCGTACGTTTTGACGTCGCGCGCTGATGACGCAATCTTGCGCGGTGACGTTGGCGCGGGGACGTCCACGCTCCGCGGCCTCTCGGAGTGCTGGAGTCTGGCGGCTGCAGGAAGGTTGTCCTGTACTGTTTCTGTAGTGCTCTGACTGTCTGTCTGGAGCCACAGTTGTTTAAAAGCCTAGGCTACTTGAGAAGGGCTTGCCATTCCAAGCTCTGTTTACTGTGACTACGACTGTCGGGTCCAAGATGAACAAAGTTTGTGCTATTTTCGGGGGCTCCCGGGGTATTGGCAGGGCAGTAGCGCAATTGATGGCACAGAAAGGCTACCGATTGGCGATCATCGCCAGAAACCTGGAAGTGGCCAGAGCCGCCGCCGGTGAGCTCGGCGGTAGGTACCGAAGGGAGGTGTCCAGCGCGGTAGCTGCAGCCCCGACTGCTGGATTTCCTCAAGTGTGAAAGGAGAGGGTCTCACCTGCACTACACGGGGCTTAGCTCACCGTCCGCCTCGTGAGGTGAACCTCTGCACCCCTAAGCCCCGCACCTCAGCGCAGCAGCAGCAACCAAGGGATGGGTACTTGGGATTTTATTGTGAGCCGCCCCCACCCCAGTAACGACCGACCTTCCTGCGGCTAGTGCTAACTCTGAGGAGCTGCTTTGCTTTGGCATCTGGTAGTCGATATCCACTCCCAGAGTTAACTTTTTATGTAGGGTAAGGGCAGATTCCGGGCGTCCGGCTACAGGGCTGCATGCAGAGGCTTTGGGCGGGAAAGGTAGGCGTGGCAGGTACAAGGGCTCTGCAGTTTTGCTGGGCACAGTTCTGTCCCTGTGTGAACACAGTAGTTTGGAAGAGAACCTTTTTTGAGTAACAGATAGTTCAGAGATATATTTAGTTTGCTTTATTATATCCATTAAGCACTTTAATAATAACTTTTAATAATTAGTTTTGAAGAATTTTATAAATTCAAATTTGGCTAGCCAAATCTTACTGCATTTAAACTTAGGTTTTTTTTTTTTTTTTCTGTCTGCTTATTGATAATGGGTTTGTTTTGCAAATTTAAGATTCCCTTGATGGTAAGGGGAAATAAAACGTTTGAAATGTATTAAGATGATGGTATTTGTTTAATTAATAGAATGGAAAAAAACACCAGTCCCTTAACTATCAAGGACACAAAAAGTCACTTAACTATCCAGGAGACAAAAATAGAGGCCTGAGATTGTGTCTTGTGGAGGTTACTTTTAGAATTACATCCTTGGTTGCGTTGGTATCAGTTTAGTCTCGCTTCTGTAGCTGGGAAAATCCTGGGCTCTGTAAAAGAATTAAGTTTGAGAATTTGAGCGAATGTTTCATGCAGCCATATTTATTGCCATTCTGATAGGAGCGGGAAATGACCTCCTTCCTGGGTTACCCCCAAGCCCAGGTGTGCTGGCCAGCTTAAAACCATTTTTTAAAAAACCATTGGTTGAGTTTTAAAAGGCAGATCCAGATGAAAACTAAGCATGAGACATTTTATTCTTTGAATCTTGAACATTTGATTCTTTGAATCTTGTGTTGTCTGAGTGGTAGATTTTCATTAGCCAAGCGATTTCCCACTGACATAGTTTCCAAAAGTTTATGGGTATGATGTAAGTGTAAACATATTTGGCACATTCAGGCAGGAAATGGTTGTTTAACTTTTTAAGAAATATTCTACATTTCAGAATAGATGTAGCAATAATTTGACTTTTTGAAGGTGTAAGAGAAATATGCATTCAGTAGAAATGATACACGGAATTTTAATTTAGATCTTTTCCCAAGCTTGTGATCTGTGGTATGATGAGAAGCTGGACGGTGGCAGCAAGCCCAGCTCCCAGCTGGGGATGCAGTCCGGAGAATAAACCATTGACGATGTGTAGTTCACTGTTGGCTAAGCTACCTATTTGGTAGGGAAGGTGTGTTAAGTGCATTTACCGCCTCCAATATTTTCACCATTCAATGGGTTTATCTAGACATGACTATCATAAATTGTGGATCATAGGCATTAAAATGTTATTAAAATAGTACTTTGTCTTCTTTGAAATACAATTTATATTTAGACTTTTTAGAAAAGCAGACTTTTTGAGAGATAATAGTTGCTTTTATTAAAAAGTTACAGTGCAATCAATGGTACAGTTAAGCTTTAATAAAAAATAACTCCTGTGTTGTCTCATCTCTCCTAATGTCTTGAATAACAGTCACTAATAGTATTTGATCAGTTGTGTATTTGTAATGCATAAAAAAGAATAAGAAGAGAAAGAAGCTTGGGGTTCATCCAAAGAAACCAATCCAACTTAAAAGAATTAGACATCAATTTCAAAAAAGAAATACAAAACTCAAAAGACTATTGAATTGGGTAGGATGGGTTCAGTATTAAAGCTATAAATATTAATCTTACAAAGCATTATCCGCTTGTGTCATGCTGCTATACCTGACCAAAGCTTTATTTCTTTATTTTCAAATTTTAAAAAGAGTTGAGGACTTAAGTTGCCCAGACAAGCCTTGAAATTCTGAGCTCAAGTGATCCTACTGTCTTGGCCTTTTGAGTAGCTGGGACTGCAGGCCTTCATCAGTGTAACCAACAGAAGCCCCAAAAGCCTAAAAATTAACTTTCTGTGATACTACTTTACTGCTTATTTTGCATTTATCCCCATCCCAGCTTCATTAGACAAATCCGTAAGAACAGGAGCCTAATGGCATTTATAGATTAAGCACAAGTGTGCCACATTTTGCCAAATGTGTATTGAGAAAATTCAAAATTCAAGTTATAATTTATACCTAATTCTAATTTAACTTTGTTTTGTAGAAAATCATTTGGCTTTTAGCTGTGACGTTGCAAAAGAACATGATGTTCAAAACACATTTGAAGAAATGGAAAAACATTTAGGCCAAATAAATTTCTTAGTAAATGCAGCTGGTATTAGCAGGTTGGTTACAGATTTACGTAAATTTCTAATGTCTTTTTAAAACACTTTTTCCTTAATGGACCTTTGCTTAGTATAAGTTAATATATTGTCTTATTTTTATTTGGAAGAAAAGGGATGCATTTTAAAACTTTGTAGAACTGTGTGTGGTGGCACAGTCTGAAATTGCAGCTACTTGGGAAGCTGAAGCACAAGAATTGAAAGCCTGAGCAACTTAAATACTGTCTCACAATTTGAAAAAGACTGAGGATGTAGCTCAGTTTTAGAACACTTGTCTAGCATATGCCAGACCGTGGGTTCAATCCCTAGTACTACAAATAAGAAAATAAACAAAAGCTTTGCCAATTCATGTATTCTTTTATATACTGAGATAAGTGTCCAGTTTGGTTAGTTGTAACATTGTAATCATCACCCGTTGAGCTATGTAGAACATTTTTAGCACTCCAGATGAGCTTAAATTTGTTACCAAACATGTGACAGTGTATGAACTTGATACTAATGGAGTCATAGGGTAGGTAATCTATTGTTTTTTTTTTGTTTGTTTGTTTGTTTTTGTCTTTTTGAAACAAGAGTTTTACCACACAGTTCATGCTGACCTTGAACTCACTTTGTAGCCCAGGCTGGCCTTGAACTCACAGCAGCTGTCTTCCTGTCACAGCCTCCCAAGTGCTGAGATTATAGGCATGTGCCACCACATCTGGGCCTTTTTTAAAAAAATGAGTTTAGAAGGAAATATTTAGAATAACATACTAATTTTGTACTGAACAATACTTAGTAGTTATTCAAGCCATACAAAATATTTTGGCTTTATAGATACTACTTTTCACAGTTAGGAATATTTGCTACCGACAGTGATGGGAAGTAGGAAATGCCTTTGAAGTATATTCTTTCTGGCTCGTCAGTTTTTTTTTTTTTTTTTAGGGACTTTCAAGCCAAGTTCTACATAGACATTTCTAGGAATTCTAGGTCAGACATAAAACACTTCTTATACGTTGCTTTCATTTGAAACATTACATAAGTCTTGTATGTCTTCACCTTATAGGGATCTTGTTTATCTTGTTCCTAATTTACATGCTGTGTCTTTTTGTAGGGATAGTCTTTTAGTAAGAACAAAAACTGAAGATATGGTGTCCCAGCTTCATACTAACCTCTTGGGTTCTATGCTGACATGTAAAGCTGCCATGAAGACTATGATTCAACAGCAGGGAGGGTCTATTGTTAATGTTGGTAAGTTCATTGTTACGGATTTATAATTATCTCAGTCTAGCATAAAAGTATTTAACCTACTACTTTGAAACTTCACTCCTGAAACTTAGATGAATTTATCTTTGTATTATCTGTGGAAAAAGGTTTAATTAATCAGTGAATAGAAGAGGAAATCTCTAATTCACATCCCTGTAGGGGTTAGGCAGATGTTACTTGGGTACCTCTACCAACTAGTAGAAAAATGACAGTAGAAGCCAAATGACAAGAAACATCATGCATGGTTCAGTGACCAGAGGCCACAGGGATTGGTGAAAGCCATCACTACTCAGATCTGGTAGATAATTGCTGTGCTTGAATGTGGTCCATTTTTGTCAGATTTGATTTTTCAACCGAAATTGGGCATCCAAATTTTTATGTGAAACCTAATTTTTAAAGTATGGACAAAGAGTTAAAGTATAGACACTGGGGCTAAATAATAGTAGTTGAGTAGGTCACTAATCTAGACAGAAGCTTAAATGAAGTTAAAATTTTTTGGTAGTTTTAGAATAGATGTAAGTAACCTCTAGTCTTCAGCTCTTCTGAAACACAGGGAAGATAAACTATGAAATATATGCCTATAGAACTTACAGTGCAAAATGAATTAAATTTTAGTTCAGTTTTGTAATTTGAAAATAGTAGCATACCGTCTGCTTTTTCACTTTTAAGTAGTAACACCTTAAAAGGCCATGAAAGGAGGGTGCTGCTCCAGCAAGTAAATGGCACTCTGTAGGGCTGCTTTCTCCAAGGAATTAGTGAATGAGTAGACCTTTGTCTTCTGACACAATTAGGTAATTACTTTGGGTTCTTTAAGGCACACAGACCTGTATGCATCACTTGATAATGTGGAATACCTTCATTTAACTTTAATATATGCCCCTTTTTAGGTATATTTCAGAATCTGAAGTCCTTCAGTTGTGTGCAGCACTTCTTTTTATTAGAAAAAGTATACTTTTAGAATGAATTAAGAGACTCTTACTATAGAAAGAGCTACTGTATTTCTGAAGTTAGCACTTTTTCAGTAGAGGTGTGATAGTGTGTGGCAGGAGTCAACGCTATTAAAGTCTCCTCTTTGGCCTTTCTGCCACACCTGTTACTCTGTCTCTTTCTCTTCTATCTCTGTCCCCTTCCCTTTCTCCTTCCCTGCCTCTCCTTTCCATCCTTCTTTCCCTTCCCTTTTTTTCCTTCTTTCATTTTTTTTGGTCTCTGTATTTCTCTTTCTCCTGTATATCCCTTTCTCTGTCCATCTCTATTTTCTTGGTCTGTATATTTTCTTCGTGTGCTTCACAGTTCTCTTCCTGTGTTATTAACTGGCTTACGGTATAAAGCTATGTGCCATGTAATGTTTTAGTCAGTGAGGGACCACATAATTATATATGGTTACATGACTATAAATTATAATGGAGGGGAATAATTTCTATTGCTTAGTAGTTTTACTGTATCTTTTCTATCTTTAGATACACAAATACTGCTTTACAATTGCTTATAGTATTCAATACAGTAATATGCTGTTCAAGTTTATAGTCTCAGAGGAATAGGCTATATATCTATTTTACCAACTGTAAAGTCAATTGTGTGTCCGTGTACATCCCTGGAAGTCATAATACATAACTGTGTAATATATGTAACTACTTTAATGCGGGAGTTATTGATTATAATAGGAAAAGTGGAATGTTTTCTTTTTCAAAAGTAAAATTGCTTTTAAAATTTCATGAGGTTCTTATTTAATTTTTATATCATAAGGTCCATGGTGCAGAAAATTACTTTTCTACTTCTGTTTGCTAGCATTTATTTGCATATAGTTGATATTTGAATTAGAAAATATTCTTACATAGTCATTAAATGAGGTCGCTTAATCTTTGTAGGCAATGGAAGTTACATCTCTAAAAGTAACACAATTACATTTTTCAAAAAGTTTATAGTTAAAGTTTCACCAATTTGGATTGATAATAGTTCGAATTTAGTGAGATTTATCTTCAAATGAATTGTTCTTGTTGATAGAAGTATTTCCTTATGTATTTGGCTATATAATCATAATATTAATCAGCCTTTATTGACTTTTTCTGGCTTTGCTTCTGAATTCCTTTATATGCCGTGGAATTTTCATTATATCTGACTTTCTCAGGGCTTGGAATGGATCCCTTTCACTTAAGAGATCAGTTTGAAAGCCTCCTGTCTAGTCCTTGTAGTTCTGTATCCCCTTCTTTCCTATCCTATTTTTGGTATTTATTTGGCATAGACTTGGACTTCTTAAGTCTCACTACTCAAATGACAATGGTTGGACCATATTACTAAGTTTTTGTTGGATCATTGAACATAACTTTGCAGTCTCACTGTTTGAATGTCTACTTTGTATGCTTTAATTTTGTAACTTAAACAACTATTTCTAAGATGACAATATGTAATCTATTAACTAGTGATTTCTTACTGTTTTTTTTTTTTTGAAATTCTGTATTACTTGTACCTTTTACTGTTTTGTTTTTTTTCTCTTTAAATAAAAAAAATGACAATGGTTGGAGTTGCTAATTTTAGCACAGGATAAGATGAAATGGCTTGTACCTTTTTTGTGTATTATAAATCATCTGTATATTCAAATAACCATTACTTGGTTTGGATTTATTTAATTTCTTTTTTCTTCTAGGCAGTATCATTGGTTTAAAAGGCAATTCTGGGCAGTCTGTGTACAGTGCCAGTAAAGGAGGATTGGTTGGATTTTCCCGTGCACTGGCTAAAGAGGTAGCAAGAAAGAAAATTAGGGTGAATGTAGTTGCACCAGGTCAGTTAAAATTTTTTATTAAAATAACTTCATTGATTATGATTTTTGTTTTATATAGAAAGAAGCTATTCATTTGCCGAGTAGTTGGTATCTCTAATTGATATCTGGGTAGACTGGTTCTAAAATGATTGTGAAAAGAATTAATTAATGAACTGGTGACTAGAAAAAAATTCCTTGTGTACCATTTTTATGTAAAATCTTTATTTTTAAATTTTGCACTAATTATGGAACAACTAAAAGAAGATCTTAGAGATCGTATATTCAGCCATTTTTATACTTTAGAAAATCGAGACCTAGGATTCTGAGTGATTTACCTAAAGTTATACAGCTAGGTTATGAGGAGCATACAAATAATGCTCCCCCAAAATTTTCTTTTTAGTTATTACCACATTTTCATCTTTTTATCCTTTTTGCTACTGGGGTCTGTCTAATCTATCTGGAGATTTCCAGTTTTGTAACTTTTACCTTTATAGTACTTTGCCAAGTTACTAGTCAGTAAAATGGTTTGTATTGTTGAGGATAATAATAAAAAGGTGCTGAGATTCAAATCTGTGCTATCACTCATTAGCTGGTGTGCAAGAAATCTGCTGGGTATTTACTTGACTTTTGAATGAAATGAATGTTTTTGTGTATCTGTCAGTTAGCCATGCAGTGTCTGTCTTATTGTAGTAGGTGCTTAAGAACTAACCACCTATGGTATGTAAAGAAAAGACAATTTTGGCTCATTAGTTGTTTGAAAGAAAGAATGAGCTGCCATCACCTTCCCTTTCAGATCATTGATGGCTCCACCTCGGGCCTTTGGTGTTTTATTTGGCACTACTGTCAAGCTAGCAGGTATCAGGGATTTATTTTTATTTTTTTGAGACAAGATCTTGCTTTGTGGTTCAGGATGCCCTTGACATCCCTTGTGTAGTCCACGTTGGCCTCAAACTCATGATCCTCCTGCCTCCTCTCCAGTGTTCTGGGATTTCAGGCATGCACCAACATGCCTGGCTGCTATCAGGAATTTATTGAAACATCCTGTTAACCCTTTTGCTCTATAATGTACTCGTCCCAACTCATCATTTAGGTAGAGACTAATTAAATTCAAACATTTCAACTCCATGAATATTTGATAACTATGATGAATGACTACAGTTTAAGTGCACTTACTTTTGGAAAAAGAAAGCAAAATATCCAAAGGCTGCATTGTCATTATCTTGGCATTGCTTTTTACGGGGATGTGTTTTGTATAATCCAATTGATTTTATTTGCTTACATTAACCATCTATGGGGTAATTACTTGTAGTTTGGAACTGTATGTGTTTGCTTCTCTTTTAAGGATTGGAGTAGTATGGGTAAAGAAGAATTAATTAGTTCATGATAACTTAAAAACTGAATAGGATGATACAAGTGTTCCTAAGAACACATACAGCGAACTTTGTGGAGTGTGTTCTTATGTGCGGGGACTGTTAGGTGCTGAAGTTACAAAATGAACGTAATGAAATGAGCTGTTTCTGCTACAAGGAGCTAGCCATGGTGGGAAGACAGGCATAAATAAATAATTACAATGTCATGTGACGAATGTAAAGCAAAAATAGATGATACTGTCGAAAAGCTGGGGAAGAAATGTTTAGTTTTGTCAAGAATGAATTAGTTGTCAAAGCAATGGACTAAATAGTGAGAATCCAGGTTGTATACAAAGGAGAAATTTTAAAAGTACTAATGGGAGTGTGGCATAGCACAGGGATATCTTACTTTCCAGTATAATTTATACCGTCAATTAAAACCTGTTGTTAAAAATGTGGCACTTTAGTAGAGCTATCTTTATGATACGATACTGAATATGCTTTGTTGGCCAGAAGCAAAGTAGAAATTGATATAGTAGAATTAAATAAATGCTATGGACTTTCTATTTTAGATAGTAATTTCAACCAGATTTTGTACCACATGTGTTAACAGTTGACAAGAATTTAATAATCATTTCTTTTTGTTGTTGTTGTTACTTTTCTTGATCACCTTCAAATGGTGGTTCTGATCAGAAGAAAAATAATTAAAAAGCAAATTATAACATGAAAACCAAGGAATAAGAAACTCAACTAGGCTATCATTCACTGCCTGGTATTGTTGATTGTTTTTAAAGAGCAATAGTTTTTAGGCTTAAATATTACTTTAAATATAAAATAAACAGATAAATCTTATTGATTGAAAATATTAATATGGGAATCAGAATATTTGATAAATTAAAACTTCCATGGATATATTACCTTAAACATATATGTATTTTAAGTAGTTAATATGTATGTATTTTACAAACTTCAGAATACAAAAAGACATAGAATGAATAATGAACCTTCTCTAGATATCCAGGTTCTTTCTTTAAAATCAGCTAATTTCATCTGTATTTCATATGTAAACCTTAAGGTGTGTGTGTATGAAAACATAAATAGTATTATACTATGTAATATTCTGTACCTTTCATTATTCATAGAACAATATATCTTGGAGATGAATCCATCTTACTCCAAGTAGAATTAATTTTTTAAAATAACAGCTTTATGGAAATATTCACATGTACCATTAAAAATCTATGTGGATTAGTGTAGTCACAGAATTCTTCAGTTTTACCATCATAAATTTTAGAACATTTTCAGTAATCCCAGAGAACCTCCCTTACTCATCCCTGCCCATTTCTCTCTGCTTTGCCTAGCTTTGGGCAAGTGCTAAACCACTTCATCTCTAAATTTTTCTATTCTCACATTTCATATAAATGGAAAAAGAAATACTTGATATTTTGTGAATACTATATCATTTTTAATAGATTAATTAAGACAATAATTTCTGTTTTAAATTAGGTATACCCTGGTGAGGGTTGTTTTGGGGGCATGCCTTATTTAATCTATTGTCTCTGGATAGTTGTGTCTCATTGTTTTCTCTTACAGCTCCTGATACCATGACAATACTTGCACACAGTTTATTTTGCACATTTGCAAGTGTTTGAATATAATCCTGGGATGGAACTGCTGAGGTTCAAAAGGAGTATTCACTTTTCTTTTTTTGTAGTACTAGGAATTGAACACAAGGAACACTTGAGGGTAGCAGTATATAAGTGAACTTTCCTCAATGCTGGGACAAAATACCCTCAAAGTAAAGGTAGAGTGGTTGCCTAGCATGCACAAGGCCCTGAGTGCAATCCCCAGTACCACCAAACAAACAAACAAAAACAACAACAACAAAACTTCAAGGTGGAGAGGTTTAATTGACTTACTATTTCAGAGGATTTCAGTCCATGTCTGGTTGGCTCCAAGATAGAAGTAGCATGATGGAAGAGCATGGAAGAGTGAAACTATTCAGCTGTGGTGGGCATGGGTTGAGAAGCAAGGAATTGAGGGAAAGAACACCCCCTTCCAAGTCAGGCCCTAGGAGACCCACCTCAACCAGGCCCTATCTCCTAGTAGCACATTCAACCATGAGCTCGTCAACGGCTTAAACCACTGATGAATGCAATTTACCTTCCCAGAGCCCCACCTCTAAATACATGAGACTGTAAGGGAATATTTTAAGTCTTAACATTAAGCTACATTCCTGCTCCTACCCCTTTGCTTTTAAATTTAGACATAGGGTCTTGCCCATATTGGTCTTAAACTTGAGATCCACCTGCCTCGGTCTCCTGAAAAGTTGGATTACAAGTGTATGCCACCACACCTGATGGTATGTTCATGCCAATTTTTGACACATAGTGAAGCATTGAGTTTATTTCTGTAGGGTACCCTTAAGTGTTTTTGTACTTCGTGCTTTTAAATTGAAGAGCTTTTGTGTTTATGAGTTGGTGAGAATCTTGTTTAAAAGTGTATGCTAAGTTTGACATCCACTTAAAGCATATATTACACTAGGTGCTTGTTGTGGTTTGGATCTGAAGTGTCTCCAAAGTCTCATGCATTCAGAGGTAGGGCTTTTAGAAGGTGATTGGATTGTGGGGTGCTATACTCATCAGTAGATTAATTCATTGATGAGTTCATGGTGAAATGTGCTGTTACGAGGTGGGCCTGGTTGGAGGTGGGTGTGACCTGGAAGGGTGTGTTCTTATCTCCAGCTTCTCCTGTTTCTATCTGCTTTCTGGCTGCCATGGTGTGAGCAGTTTTGCTCCACTGGCCATTCCACCCTGCTGTTTCTGCCTTGGAGCTAGGTGACTGGACTGAGACCAATGAAACCATGAACTAAAATAAACCTCTCCTCCTTTAGGTTGTGAGTATCAAATATTTCATCCCAGGAATGAGAAAGCTGATTCAGTGCTTTTAGTTGCTGTTGTGTATAGTGTTGATTTCTCACACAGCTTCACTCCACAAACATACTACCGAGACACACAGATTTGTTCTGATTAAAATCTTGACAAATAGTGAAGGTCTAGTTTTTGGTAAGAACATTTATTTATTCTTCCTTATAAAGTGTCTAAGATTAAGTTAGTTCTTTCTAGGTCCTGTAAACTTATATGAGAATAGACATCTGAACTAGTAGGTACATTAAATAATGCCACATCACACAACTGATTCTACAGTTTAAGCAGTTTAGTCTGAAAACCTAAAATGCTCTGACATCACAAGTGGAAATATATATATCCAATTTATTTCGATGGTTTGTAGTCAAAACCAAAAGTACTTTATAAAATTCCTTACAGGAAGAGAGAAGGGGAAGTAAGAAGGATTAAGATAGGCCATGTATGGGTATCGAATAACTGCAACAAATGTAAACATTATATGCCATAAATATGAGTTTAGAATAGTAATAACAATAATTTAAAAACTGGGAAAGAGGATTTAGAGGGAGAGGAGTAGGTAGGAAGGAAATTGAAAAAAAGAAATAAGCTGTGTTATGTACATGTACTTACTCCCCAAGAGGAATGTAAACTTCATGTACAAGAAGCATGTACTAATAAAAATAATTTAAAATATAACAGATAGTAGTTGCCTACCCCTCAAAAAAAAAAAAAAAAAACCACATTACTTTCAGGCCATAGGATAAGG